ATGGAGAATATTTTGAAAAAAAAAATAAATAAAACCAATTTCGATCCTACATATTTGTTTTTTCATTATTAGGCCAGAAATATAAATAGCAACCCTCGTATGAAGGAAATAATCGAATGTCACTATAAATCAAATATTGCTTTGATAATACAATACTTGAAGTACATTCGCAATTGAATTTTGTATTGTCAACAGTTTTTCTAGTGCGACATTTGATTTATTTAATATACATAATTTATTGATTTACGCTAATTTCCTTTTAAATATTTCTGTTTTAGTTTTTATCATTATTTTAAAGTATTATGCTTGTTGACACTTTTATAAAATACATTAAAAATAATAAACCTCCCACTTAACTTTAAAAAAATGAAAAACACAGAAAATTACTCATGATAGACGACACAAAAGTTTAATGCGGCTATGTGAATATGTTTAACAATTTCCATCTCGCTCCTCTCAAAGTCATGGGGCGAAATTTTGTCTAAAATTTCTCATGCGAGCTTTCCTGTGAGAGTTTTCAAATGTAATGTACCAAAAGAGTTTAAATATATAATAATTTCCCGTACCTGGACGTTTTTATTTCCTATTTTACACAGTAGATGGCTGCACCAGACTATTTTTACGTAACTGGAGATAATTAATTTATTTTAAGCTAGATGGTGAGCTAGATGGCCATCCAAATATTTGTATTTGTGATGCGTATTTCGTACTTTTAGCTCAGCTACTTATCCTCTTTGTTCAAACACGGAATTTGTGTTCGATGATAAAATATGTTTTAATATTGTGTTCATTACTTTATCCAGTCAGTGTTACATGTACATAAGGAGTACTTACGAAGTTTTATATTTCAACTAAGAAAATTCAAAAAAATCCAAAAATGAATACATCTACTACACATACACATTTTTTATCTAATTTTCGGGAATAAAAAAAATAGGCTCTTTTATGACCGTTTCTTGAAAGTAATAAGATCGTTAAGGGGTTAATAAATCAAGTGTTAATAAACTGAGTAGTTTGTTACATTATATATGACTGATATATTGCACAAAAGGGGAAAAAAGTAAGACATTTCTGAAGTTTTCAACTGATTAATTTTGCTCAAAGTAAAAAAAAAAAANGGGCAACAGAATGAGACTTCGTCTCAAAAAAAAAAAAAAAAAAAAAAAAAAAAATGGGGGAAATAGTAGGGGAGAGTGGGGTCAATTGTAACACTTTTTACTTAACTATTTTCTACTAACAAAAAATCCAATACATTATTAGTATTAATTGACAGACGAGTAAAGTAGACTATCCTCTACTAGAAAAAAAATAAATTACCTTATTTTAAATGTTATTATATTAGTTATTAACAATTTTTGACAGTCGTGCACTTGTAACAAATGTCCCCACTTACGGAGTCAATTGTAACAGTTCATAAATTCAACTAAAACATTGTTAATTATACATATTATCATAGTTGTGATATATTTTTTTATTGATCAAAATAGTAGTGATATTTTAGGAGTAAAAATAATAATGAGCAGAGACCTAAAGGGTTAAACTTTTAACTTTAAGGGGTTAAAAATTTTAATTTATGCTGTGAAAGGTGACAAATAAAATAATGCACATGCAACATAATATAAATGATATAGGAAACTATTGGTGGTTCTTAAATAGTTAAGTAATGGTTTGTAAACATATTTTCTGCTGTTACATTCATCCCTTTACTTATTGTTACAATCGTCCCCAAGACGCCATTTCTGCTTCATTTGTTAAGAACAATGGTAGTTAATTAACAAAATTAATCTTTTTTTTAACAAAGTTAATTAAGGTGTCCACTTACATATTCGGTTAATAATTTTTATTTGTTTAAACAAACATACTTTATTACAATATAATATTCTAATACCAAAAAAAGTACTTACACAGCGTGAAAATATCTTTTGTGATGTAACTTGTTCAAAAGTACATAAAAATGGTTGCCAGCAGAGGTGTACATGTAGGTTTATTAAATACACCTTGTGCGTCACCTAGGAACCAAATCTAGAAACCGACACTTGAAATTTTTGCTCTGTTACAATCGTACCCTGTTACAATTGAACCCACTCTCCCCTAACTAGTTTGAGAAAAGGGATATAAGGAGTATGTATCGACGATTTGAATTTTTAAATAGAAAAACATAAATTTTTTTAACTTACTCTAATTGCTGTAATATAGGGGATGAAATACATTTGCTGGTAAAAATAAGACATCCTATGTTTACTTCAGATAAGAAAAGGAACATTTTGTTGCTTTTGACTACGTATTATATTCTTTAATATATTTTATGATTGTTTAGAAGACAAATTCTATAATAAAAATTTTATTTCTTTTCACTTTGAAAGTTTTTTTTTACGGTTACAATGTTCAAATAGATGGGGATAATATGATCACTTAAATTTGTTTATTAATTATCTAATGCCGAAAATATTTTTCAGGCTTATAGTAAGGAAAATGATGTCAAAAGGAAAATAAAGAGAAACATAAAAATAATAAAAAATTTTAGAATAAAAACTAAATTTTTAATATTTCAGAAGAAGTGCAATAAAAAGGTATACAGAAATGCCAAAATAAAATAAGCACTGTAAATAAATAAATTAAGTTATAATAAATCAGATAAGTAAATCGTATAACTTATTTGGCTGGCAAAGCTATGTTTTTGATACCTAATGGAATTTATCTTTGTTAAGCGACGATGTGCATAATGGAAACTAATACTATTAGTTTTACTTCGTATCTTGAAACACCGTCAGTTATAAACAAGGAAATACATTGACGGCTATGAACCCTTTATCAATTGAATTAGTCAACTTTTATTTCAGTAAGTGAATTTCAAATTCATTGACTGAACAGACAAAAATCACTGTTTTAGCTTTCCTTAATAAGCTACTACACTTCTTTCTATATGTAGCATAATGGAATAAGAAAAATGTAGCATTTCATCGCAGTAATTGAATTTTATGTAACAAATACAATTTATTTTACGCATGTCAATTTTAAGTATTTATGTCTATTTAATTCTCTTTGTCTTATCATCTAATGTGTTCACAATATGCTTTTTTTTAAATCTTAGAATATATAAATGTAATCTTAGAATATGTAGATGTAATCTATATAGATATAATCTTCGAATATATAGATTTGAATTTTTGATTTTTCGCAGTGTTGGTACAATGTCTATTCTTCAATGTCTGTTATCTTAAATGTTCGTTAAAATTTCATCTTTCAATTTTTAAACTATGCTAGTTGTAAATGATTAAAGACTATACAGTTTTGTATTCATGTTTTTTTTATTTTTTTAACATATTAGTTACAAATGATTTCAAATGCAAAGGTAAACATTATTTTTAACCTTACACTTTTTGGTTAATCGAAAGGACAGATTGTTGCCATTTATTTTATCGTAATACTAGAATGAAAATTTGAACACTGTATATACCAGTCATTTTTATACCACCTGTCGGTAATTTATAATTTATAGGTGACATTCTATGGTGTAAAAATTATCTTTGCTTCGCAAATTTTTAATTATTTAACTATCAAATTATTTTTCTCAAAAGTATAAAAGCTAATAATAACTCTATATAAATTACGTTTAGAAAAAAGTTTTTTTAAGTACATCAATATATCATTAACCTAGTGATGTTTATTTTTATTTTTCTTGTTAAATTCTAATGAACTTGAAAGATGTGCATTTTACAGTGAATAAATTTAAAATTGTATTAAAACAAGTGTCAACTAAAAGAAAAAAATATAAATATTTACAGTTTCGAAAATCTTAAAATTTATACATACGGAATAAAAAAAAGAACTTTTCCTTAAAAGCTCCATTTGCTTCTGAAGTTAAAAATCTTAGAACATTTGGTGTCATTCTCTAGGGAATTCGAACGGATATTTTCTCTTTAAATGCTTGCTTAAAGTAACGCAAAGTTAATGCACAAAGCTGCTTATTTTATTTTTTTTTCCTTTCGGAAAAGGCAGTCTGTCCCCAATTTATAAAATTTAGAAATGCATACTTACGTTATTTGAAAATTTTCAACGAAAGAAATGATAAGGTTATAAGTATTAAGATGAACAAGTGTATTTCTTAAGAAGAAAAATAGAATTTTAATTTTCAATTAACACATCTATTTCATAAGCACCTTTCTTTTATTTTATATTTTAAAAATATATAATTGTGGTGAAAAGAAGAAACCCAAAAGACAAGTGGAACCAGGAATTCATTTGTGTTTAGAAAAGATGTATAATCCAAAATAACTATAAAATTGTAGAGAAAAAGTATACAATATAAAATTCTAAGTTACGACAGCGCCAAGTTGCTAAAGTCACAAGTTGAAGAATATTTGAGGAAAAATGATTTAAGATTAAATAAAATATGTTATCACTTCATAAGAGAACGAAAATGATGAACTCAGCTAGTGAGAAACTAAAACCATTAAAACGAAATAACATTCTAAATATTACCTTCTGGATAGTCCTACATGAAGTTAGAACCAAACTATCAAAAAGGAAAAATAGATAAAAGAAATTAAAATGGATGCACTGACATACATGACAACTTCGTCAGGGGGCATAATCATGCAGTCAGTGCTGGAGCAGTTTCAGCAGTTGGCGGTGAATTACAGCTCCGAGTCACAAAGTCACAACTTGAGGAATATTTGACGGGGGAAAATTAAGATGATATTAAATATGGGGCACATAATATATAATGATTCTGGGTACCTATGTTAGTAAACATTTAATAAAGAACTTTTGAGTGAACAATTTTAGATTAAGAAAACTGTTATTGATTTGTTATGCTGTGGCTCAATTTAAATAATTTGTTAGCAGTTTAAAATTTTTTTAGCAAGCGAAAAATTTATTTTTCTAGTCTATATGTCTATATGTTAAGTTATCCACGAATTAGCATGTTAACAAATTGTGCTTGAATCAAGTTATAACAACATACAACTAAGGAAAATGGATTTTTATCTACTTTTTAGGAAGGCGAACAAATCAATGATGAGCGAGAATCAAGTATGAAGATGGGAGAGCAGATAATACAAGGAGTGGAGCCTCTTACCTATTTTAAGAAAAAGGAATGTAGCAGGTTACTGGAAAAAGAGCCTTGGAATTTTCAAATAATAAGCTAGATAATTTAATTTGGCCTACCTAATTATTTTTGATCAGTGACTTCTGCAGTCATTCAGAAACTAGCGTGGCTTTCGGTTAAACTTTATTGGATATCGTAAGAGTGAATTAATGTCTTGAAGATTCTATGAAACTGTCAGATAGAAATTGCTCTGTTGTAATGTGTTTAATTAGAATAAACGAAACATGACACTTTAGGAATAGAAGAGCTTTGTTTCAGTTTATATCATAACACCAGAACAGCCGGATTTTGGACTTAACTAAAACCACCATTTTGGGTTTATTTGACCCTTTTTGGAAATTTTTATTATTTCAAAGTAAATCAATTTTAATTGATGGATATTGTTAAAAATATAATATACTAATTTTTATGGAGATTAAAAATGATTAGCTCCTTTTTATTTGCATAATGACAATATAAAAATACCATATAGTATTGAGTAACATATTATTCTTTGGCTGGAGCACAACTCATACGAAAATATACGCAAGACGCTAATATAAACAATGCACATATGTTTTAAAATGTGGTTCCATCATTAGTTTAATATTAGCATTACCGGACAATATATACGCGTGATATGAAAGTGGTAATGAAATTTCGACAAACTGATCTTCTTCATCTCTCATAATTATCAGAAGTTTTTTTACGTCCCTTACAAAATTCAAAGAGTTGTTTATTTTATTTTAGAGATTGAATCTTATGAATTAGGGTCTTGCTTATGCGCAAATCGCCTTTTTGTTGTTATTCAAGCACAAGAATAAACTCGCAATGCATAATGAAAGTGACAAAATATTCCTTGTAAACTATCCAAGTATAGAGAGCAGCAATATCACAAATGTTCTACAAAAGTGCATGGCATCGGAAAGTTTCACGTCTTTTAAAATGATTTTTTAGCATAGTGTGATAACATTTTGTTCTATTGTAGTAAGTGACAGTGTTTGGCTTTAAATCTATGCTGTTTCCTGCAACACAGTCACGTCATGACTATTCAGAAATAGGGTATTCTTCTTCTTTTTCACCTAAGCAAAGAGTGTTTTGTATCAGTTTTGCAGTGCGAAAGATTAATGTCATGATTAATAGGTGAACTGAAAATAAGAGGAATTTTTCTCTTATTAAGACGTCCTACAATCCGAATTATGTGGATATTCCTTTTGAAGAAAAAAAAATTGCAAGTTTCACTGAGGAAATATAAAAATAAGTAGTTCCGCTGTGTTCTGAATTTAGATGTAGTTCACTACTTAAAAAAACTATATTTTACCAAAATTGTAAGAATTCCGTTAGCAATATTTAAGTTTGCACAAATAAAGCTAACTATTAAGTTTTTTTTTTAAAAATTTTATGTCGGGTCAGTTGAAAACAATAACTTGAAGTCAAAGTTATTTGGCTTGTTCCTCATGCGATAAATTTGTTTTTTAATACATCGCAATAATTTTTCACAAACAGTTCTCGTTTAGCCAGGATTTTAAAAAAATTATTTATAACGTAATGTAATGATGTAATAAATGTTAGGATGCGCATGGATTGTTCCAGGCGGAATGTTGAATTTTTAATTCAATAAGAGATCAACTGAATCTAAGTTGCCATATAATTTAACGGAAACAGTTGCATGACATTTTTAAGACAGTGTACCCGAATATATGGTGAATAATTAAAGTTTGCAGTCTTACAAAATCAAAAACAGGCATGAAGCTTCAAAAATGAACGTTTTTCTAGCGGGGACCTTTTTTTTTAGCTGTTATATAATTAATTTTTAATAATCAGCATTAACGCAGATAATTTTGATACAGTGTACTTAGAAACAATTTAAGAAATGTAAAAAATATGAGCATGAGCTTCGAAGCTCACGTGTATCTTCAAAAATAACATAAGAAATGCCAATAAACGATCCCAGCGGTGCTTCTAGTGCTAAATGTTTTAGTAAGTGCATTGTATATAAAAGTAATAACTTAATTGCATATAAAATTAATAAGGAATTCCATTGCTCTTAAAATATCCTTGATGGAAGCAACGAAATTATTGGGAGTCTTCGATTTGACATTTACATATTAGGTTGGACTGAAGTAATATTGGTATATTAGAGGGAAATAGGACTGAATTTTTTCAATGAGAAAAAAATGAATTTTAATCTGCTAAATACCTTTCATTCTGTTAAATAAGTTGATATAATTTCCGTAAATTCATCACCTTATGTTCATAAAACTTCTGGTTCTTATGAGTTAAAAAAAAGTAGATCAGTTAATTAATGGGATTATCGAAATTTTTAACATTTGATAAATTTAAATTAAGGTGGAACAACAAAGTAAAATTTTTGAAACATTAAAAAATTATTCCATTTTTTCCATTTGAAAAATTATTTCATCATTTCATTCTCGCTTAAATCATTTTTCCGCTGGAATGTGATTTGAAAAAATAAAATTTTTCTTGTTACATAGTGCTAGTAAGGCTTTAAATTTTAAAGTTTTTAAAATAATTTCTAGCAAATTATTCAATTATTGAAATAACTAATAAGTTCCAATGTTAATTTTTTTCAGTCCTGATTTTTGTTTTAATGGATGCTCGAATCACTTGCTAGAGCTCAATTTTATAGGTTCAAGGGAATAACCGAAAATATGCTAATATATTAGTGGCGACGATATTTTAAGTTACGAAATCAGACACAAAACGTACTTTCCTTGAATAAGCATGTCTTTGTTTCAACGAATTCGAAATTCTGACTCCCAAATTTTAGAGGATAGTCGCAATCTGGGTAATATGGTAAAAAATTATTCAGGTCAAATTTAATTTAATAAATAAGTTAGGTCGAATTTAATTTATTTCGTATTTTGACATATCTCTTGAACTTTTTAAGTGAAATGAAAGTTTTTCGGACACAGATATAAAATTTCTTTGTCCAAATTTCTGTGTTAAAATTTCTTTGTCTATCTCACAATTCAGTTGCTTTTTGACTATTATTAAATTAAAAAGTGTATCTATATGTTTACTAAAAATTACTTTTCGCATTGATTTATCTTTGGATAAACAAACTTTATAATTGTGTGAAAAAATTATCAATTTCCTTAAAACGTTCTCAAGATATAGTAAATTACAAAAAAAAAAAAAAGAAAAAACAGAAAATTACATTAATTAGCCAAACGTTGGACCGCTGTCTTGACCAAACTATTAGTTCCGCTGTCTTGACCAAACTATTAGAACCGCTGTCTTGACCAAACTATTAGGACCGCTGTCTTGACCAAACTATTAGGACCGTATATTGGTGTCCCATTTCTTCCGATATTTTGTAGTCAGAATTCTTAATCCATTGGAATAGTGTACATTCGATTAGAGACATGGCGGTTTTATGTTTGATTTGTGACTTAAAATATCGTATTCACTTACAAATTAGCATAACTGAAGTCACCCCATCAAACGATAATGATTGGGTTCTAGAGCTTATTGATCCAATCATTAGATGAAAGTTATTTAAAATAGTTCTTTTTTGCCCACTGTACATCAGCTCTTAAGAAATCAAGATTAATATGATTTATGTAGTTCACCCGTTACTGTCTGGTTTAGTTCTATTCCTTTCATTCGATGGTAGCATCACCTTATCACCTTAAGGCAAAGAACATGATTTCACCTAATTTTCCTATTGTGTCTTAAGTTCTTAAAAAATCTTTAATACAATACATATTTATTTTATGTATTTGGTTTTGAGTATTTCTTCGAATAAACTTTGTTATATTCCATAAACTCACAATTGTGAAAGATAATCAGAGTTATTTAGCATTAAGAATAAGTGAGGTATATTTATGTGAACATAAAAAGTTTATTTCACATATAAAAGTGAGAAATACATCTAATTTACTTTTGTAACTTACACTTCCAGTCTAATTACAAGTAAAAAATAATTGGTGTGGTTAGAAAAAAATATTCTATTGTATCAATAATTTGTTGCATCATTAATTTAGATAAAAGGGATTTTTTACATACATAAATGACACTTTTACAACTTCAAATACTAATGAATGCTAAATAATTCTTGCCGTTTTCACCCTTAATTGTTGCAAAANATATATATAAAGCAGATGAATCAACTATTAAATGTCATCTTCACTTGTCAAAAAAAAATTATAAGCAGATTTTTGAAAATTTTTATCATTGACTGTTGTGATGAAGAATTTTCTAGCCGCTGTACATTTTAGACTTTAAAATACCACACACAATTAAAAGTATTATTTTTTTTCAATTTCCTTAAAATTATTTAAATGATGATTAAAACTAGAGACAAAAATTTCTTCACTTAGTTCAAAATGGAATATTTTTGAAGATAGAGGAAATTAAAAAATGTTCTGGATGCTTTTCATTTATTTTGTGGGATGTTTCAGTATTTTCGTGATATACATCAGTGTTGATAGTTTAAAGAATTATTAAGTAAAGAATATCACTCTACATCCTACATTCTTATTACTCTACATTATATTCCTGCTTTAGAAGATCACAATATTTGTTGAGGGTATTAAGTAAAATAATAAACAGATGAAATAATAATGGGAATAAAACAAAAAAGCTAAACAAATTATGTTCTATATGAACTTTCAAAGTATTTCATAGCTCTGCCATTTAATACAATGATAAATTTTTAATCCTATAATTTTCTGTGATGGAACGTCATGGATGCTTTTAGAAGAAAGATTTAGAGTGAAATTAAATTATTGTTTTAATAGTGACATGTTTTAATGAAAGTTTTAACCAAATTGTAAATTAGTCTGTCTTTCCTAACAATCAAGAACATTCTGTAATCTCTTTCACATGATAAAAAAATCACTTCGCGTATAAATTATTGTTGATAAGTTAGAAATGCAATCTTTATTTTTAAAATGAATCCATGCTGCGCACTTAAACGTCCTTATGAAACCTTAATACCATTCACTTTAATAAATATTTTGAGTTTTTAACACATCTGTTGAATTCCAAGCGTAACAGAGGGGACATCGCATAAGAATTTTATTCCAAAAAAAAAACAAAAATTAAATATTTTTGAAAACAAAAATTTTACTAGAATGTGCTACTTAAGGGTGCAACGTTTAGTTAATTGACCTAAAATGATTAAAGATCCTCATAATTAAATTGCACGTTAAATAAATGCAGTTGTAACAGAGGGGACAAAAAAATCTCACATTTTTGGCATGCACTGTTATCTATGCTAAATTATGTGATTTGGTC